ATAAAATTGTACGTGGAGTTCCTCGGATTGCTCAGATTATGGAATATTACAACATCTCTTACCATAATTATGCAGATGACACAAAACTCTACATAACAGTGTCACCAGGCGACTAGAGTCCCTTTTACATTCACTGAATATGTGCATTGAACAAAAGCTGTTTTTGGCCCCAAAGAAGAAACATTAAAAGTCGGTGCTCACCTTGAATTCATGACACTAAAATCTACAAATCAAGCCAGAAATCTTAGTGTTGTTATGGACTCGCACCTTAAAATTCAACAGCCAAATAAAGACAATTACAAAGTCAGCCTACTGTCATATAAAGAACACTGCAAGAATTAAAGGAGTTTTGTCTAAAAAGGACACAGAAAAACTTATTCTTGAGTTTATTTTCAGCAGGCTGGACTATTGTAATGATGTCTTCACCAAGTCACCAAACAGCTGCAGCTCATCCAGAGTCCTCACTAACAGCAAGAAAGTGGGAGCACATCACACTGGTCCTTAAATCACTGCACTGGCTTCCTGTGTGTCAAAGGATAGAATTTAAAATCCAACTACTCATCTATAAGGAACTAAATGTTCTCGGGCCCAAATACAGCTCTGATCTACTTGTACGATATGAAGCATCCAGACCCCCCAGGTCAGGTGATCAGAGACAGGTTTACCCAGAATCAGAACCAAGCAAGCTGAAGCAGCTTTTAGTTTCTATGCTCCCCACCTGTGGAACAAACTTCCTAAACACCTTTTATCACTGCAGCACTTCTTTTAAATGGTGTTCTAAGTTTCTTACCTGATTTTATGCAATCATGATAAATATTTCTATTTATTCAAATTAGTTTTTATTGTCTTTAACTGCTATCTTAATGTCATCTTGATGTTCTATGTTTAATGTATTTCCATGCCTCTGCTCCTTACCGTCACCTTAACTATCATAGCTGAAGGCCCAGAGAGAGACGCCAGGCCTACGTGATTTCTTCAAAGTACTCATATAAGTTTATCAGCTAATGCTTATCCTATCAAGTGTGTACCTGGCCTTGCTCGTCTTATGTGTGAGCCAGTGATTGTCTTAAGTGTTGGCTCAGGGTGAAACTGGCTCTTCCTCTCCTCAGACCTCTCAGTGCCTTTTTTTAGAACATCCTGCCCACACTGGTCACAGCTAGAAGAATGGGTGCATCCTGTCTGTCTGCTTCCAAATCTTGATTAAATCTTAATGTGTCCGTGTTTGTGTGGAAGACTTCTGGCTCCGGCTTCAGATGGACTGACACAACGCTGAGTGATTTCAGCTGTTTAATCCCGACTGCTGCAGTTTTACTGGGAACAGCCACAATGCTGCTTTGTCAAATCCAATCCCTCTTTTTAGAGGATTATTCCAGGTTATTACAGTCTGGATATTATTTACATAATTTTCTATCCGTTATGATAACACTGTCCTCACAAAGGAGACTGCTGAGATCTGGGTTTTAGCCTGATGTTGTATGAAGACTTCAATATGGGCCTTTTAAATCAAAGAAACCCTGCTTACTGAGTGTATCAGGAATAAAATAATAATATGTAGAAAAGCTGGAAGCTGTTGTTGGAACTGGGAGTTATGTGACATGGCAGATGTAGTGTCCTGCTTAAACCCTTTGTCAGGACTGAAGGATGGCCTCTCCGTGCGCTCGCCGTTATTGAAACCAGTAGTCAAGCTGGTGAAATCCGTTAGAGTGGACAAAGAGACACAGACAGTCCTGCTGTTAAACACGCACACAAATCAACTGCAGAGATAGGCTCCTGACCGTAAAGGATGGGAAAAGCATGTCTCTGTTTGTGTCCAGAGTTTCTCTTATATTACAGCATATATATTTTGCAGCATCGGCATGCTGCAGCAAAATCGACACCTTGACACCTGACCGGAGTGAAAGGAAAAGAGAGGAAGAAGAGGAAAAGAAAGAAAGCGAGCGAAAGGAAGATTTAAATAGCTGACATTTAGTTAGATAGATTTTTTTAATGACCTATTGATATTCAGTCCAGCCACCAGCGTACAACAACACCCTTCACAGTCAGACTGATCAGCGGTCATACCAGGACAGATCCTGGTGGGCTGCTGCATCAGTGGGCCAGTTGTTTTTACCGGCCCTCCCTATGTGCCTGTCATTCAGGGTGCTCATGTGCCTCTGCTCACTTCCCCGACCCCCCCCCCATCCCACCCCACCCTCCCACCGCAAAAACATCCTAGAGGAAACACTGGTGTATGTGTGTGTTTGACCCAACACTGCCTATACACTTAAACAAAGCTCGCCCTAGTGTGCACTTCCTGTTTGCTCCATGGAAATCGTTCTAACAACTCCTCACATGACACAGAGTCAGTGTGTTGTCCAGTCACAGGCAGAGTGGGATGTTTTTCCACAGCTTCTCCAGTCAGTTGCTGCTTCTGTCATGTTAGGAAAAGGACAACATGGGCTGCACAGAGTCACTCCCTGCCTACCAGAGCAGATGAATTCAATTGTGGTGAGAAGGGGGGGGATTAGAGCTCCTTTCAGCCTGACTGTGTCACAAGGACCCTTGAACCAAAGCCAATGGAGGCAAACAAAGAAAGCCCTCTGATGCTGCCAAACAGGCCATGATCAAGACATTGAGCCTACTGGAGGACACTCAGCTACTGCTAATGCAAAGGATCTTCAAACTCCGAATACAAATTTAACGACTTTCAAAACTGCTTCAATACCTTTAAAAGGAAAAAGATAACTCCATACTTTGGAAATCAAATCACAAAAATCCACAGTGACAAGTGACTTGTTTAAACCCAAAGACAGTCATTGTCCACTGATATAAAACAGAAAAGCAGTAAATCCTCAAATTCATTTTAAATAAATAATTTATCATTTCAGCACCACTGTGTGGTTCATTAACCATTGAGAAGTTTGCACAAATGTGTACACAAGATTTTCACATTAAAAGCCTTCCAGGAAAGCAAGGAGATATGCCCACTGAGCCACTTAAGGAAGACCTTTAATGTGAAACATCTGTGCAGAAAATACTGAGTTTTGTTGACAGTAGGTAGCTTAACAGCACAATGGATGCAACTGGAAAGAATGAAAACAAGTCTTTCTGAGAAAGAGAAAGTGAGAGCAGCAGAGTGGTGAGTGTGACAAGATGTAGATGATTTACTACACCTGCCTGATTCAAGCCAGCAAGTCTATTAGTCTGTCAGATGTTAACTCATTATGGATTTATAGACATAAATCCATAATGAACCACAACATTCAATATAATTAGAGTACAATTAAAACCTAATTAAATACTCCATGTAAGCCACATAGTCTGGGCTAAAACAACATGTTATGATGAAATTGGTTTTCATGCTGAGCGGGTGTACAGAAATATTTAGGTACATTTCCATCTTTATGTTTTCACAGTTATTTTCATCCAAAGTGCAACAACGTCCGATGGAAACAGACGCAGCAAATGAATGGTGTTTGAAAGAGACGGGGCTTTTCAGCCTCAGAGAAAATATGTGTGGGTGAATCAAAGCAGCGCGCCATTGTTGATCACTGCAAAAAAAAAAAAAAAAAAACAGAACAATAGGAGACTGAACTCTGGAGCCAAATCAGGCTCCAAAAATCCCACTCTTCAAACCAATGAGAGGCACAAATAATGTTAGCAGGGAACCTTGACTCTGCTTGCCTCCAGCGATCTCCCACATCATGATCAGAAACAGAGATATGATGCTGCAGAGACAGCGTACAATAACTGTAAAAGAAGTTCACAGAAGCAGGACAGAAATGCGCCCAAGAATCCGGGGCAGTGCTGTTCTTGTGTTGTAGTAAATCTGCCTGTTTAGAAGCGTCTCCGACACAATTAACCAAGACGTCAACATGGGTACATCCCAGTTCCTTCATTTGACCATTCCCTGCTCCTCGCTCCTCCTCACTTAACCTTCCAGGTCCTTCCAGTCATCCCTCCTAAAGCTCTTATTACTGCTCTGAGGAGCTGCACCCCAGACACGCCCCTTCATCAGGAATCTATAGAAATCTATAGTGATTAGACATCTGATATCTGGTTAGACTGACTTGAATCCACATCACCACAGTTTTAAAGAAAAGTGGGCAGATTTTTTTAATTTAAAATAAAAAATTTAAATTAAAATAATTTTAAAAAATAAATTACATTTTAAATGATATAAATAATTATATATATATATATATATATATATATGATTTATTAATAATTATTAATCATATAATATTATGTATTAATATTGTATTGTTGATTTACTCCTAAATTTAAGATTTAATTTGTGATTCACCATTAAATCAAAAATAGTGGATCTGTGGGTTTGATTAATAAAAAGATCAATAACAACTTTCTTAATTATTGGAATAAACATATGATGTTTAGTTTTTTTTAAAAATGGGGAAACAAGGAGAAAAACACCATCTCTGTGCCGCTGGTGGCAACTGTATGCCCTTCTTTAAGGCCAAATGGCAGCTGATCCAGCTGTGCTACTGGCATCAGAAACAGATGTCACTGTAGATGACGGTTCACAGGAAAGGACGCATCTCTAACAGAGCGTGTCCTTGCTTCCTCTTCCCTCTCACATCTTCACTGCTTACCTCTTTAGTGGGACGGACTGAGATGCAAGTAAAACATGCAAGTGGAGGAAACCTGGATGTGATTAAGGGAACTGGGACGTACCCACAGAGTGTCGTTAAATTTGTGTCTAGCATCAGCTTTCTAGGCTGGAAATTTTATTTGTGCAATTAAAGGATTTATCCCAAAATTTACAGTAATGTCAAACAATGTTATCTTGGTCAATTTTACTGGCATCCAGGAGGCATCACCTCCCACATCATGATCAGACACTGACACCTTAGAAACAGCGTGACAATAAATCAGGACCCGGACACTGAGAGCCGGAGACAATGCTGTGCTTCTGCTGCAGCTAATCTGCCTGTCAAAACAAACCTGTGACACAGGGTGCTGTTATCTGTTAGAAAATAGAAAGTGGACAAGCTGCTTACATGTCTGGCCTCCCGGCGCAGGCCCTCTGTGTTCCTCAGCCAGCAGCGGCTCAGCTCGCTCAGCTCCAGGATCGGCTGCACCTTCAGCCTCACCGTGTCTCCCGACTGACGGATCATCTCCACTATCTCGTCCCGGTTCTTGTTCTCCACGTTACGCCCGTTTATCTCCACCAGCCTGTCGCCCGGCACCAACCCCAGTGCCAGGTCCTTCGTGCCGGCACCAGGCTCGGCAAAATGGACCACACGCCTGTACACTCCTCCGTCAACGCTGCGGTCCAGCATAGTGGTGCGACGCAAAGAAAATCCAAAGTCACCAGTGTTGCGGCGTTGGAGCTCCAGCTCACGTGTTTCTGGTGCGCTCGGTGCGACCACAGCCGGCAGCTGCAGCTGTGCGGGGAAGGTCTTGTCGACCACTTCAGGGATGCAGACTTTTTTGGTGGCTGGTGCTCCGGGCTGCTGCTGCTTGAGGCTGTGCTTGCGGAGCATGCCCAAGACTTTGCTCTCCACATGCGGGGACGGGGCAGCAGAGTTCTGGCCTGAGGGGGTGGAGCTCTCTGAAGGGCTCTCCTCTTTGCTCTTCTGGGAAAAGGAGAAGCGTTTCATCATCTGACCCACCTGCGAGGAGTTCTGCTTGGCAAGAGAACCGAAGTGAGCCACGCGTTCATGGACTGAGCTGCGGTGTCCATCCTGTCCTCCTCCACCCTCGCCCTTCAGGTCATCGGTGGAGCTGGCAGCGCTGAGCTGGTCATCCAGAACCATGCTGCTTCGGTTGCTCAAGCCATCCGATTCAATGTCAGTGAGGGTGAGCTCGTTGCTGCTGGCCACTTTGATGGGAATGGGGTTGGAGATCTCCAGTTTGTTCTTGGACTCACGCTTCGCCTCCCTCTTCAGGTTGAAGAAACCTCGCCGCATGCTCATCTCTTCCAGGCTGCGCAGCTCTGCTGCAGACATCCTCTCCTTTTTATCTTTCTTCTCCTTCCTACTCCCTTCCCTCTCCTTGTCCTTTTTCATCAGATTAAACATGGTGAAAACTAAATGCTACGTTTCCGTCCAACGTGGCTCTATTTTCCCTACAGAGGTGGAGGTGGTCCAGTTCACTGGTCAGCTGGGTTTGTTGTGACCAACAGGGACAAATCCCCTGAGGAAGAGACAGAGAGAACAAACTGTGTCAAATTCACAAAATACTAAATAGTAAAGAAAAAATGTCCAGATTTTCATGTAAAACTGGACATTAACAAAAAATCAATAATATAACAATAAAGTCCATAATAAACACCTTTATATTATTTTTGTGACAATATTCTGGGGAGGAGCTTAAGTGCTAAACATTTTAATCAGTAGCTGGACCAGTCAGATATGTTTAGAAAATTGTTTCTTGTGACTGTAATCCCATTAGAAACACAATATTTAATAATACATGCATCAAATCTCAGATATCTATTCTTATATTCCTACTGCTGAAACAGTAGGTTAACTGTTAAAGCACAGTCTGGAGTCCCAAACAAACAACTGTCTCCTCCTTTAATTATGCCATAAGTAATCATGGGCATGGATCTACTCCCACCTAGAAGCTGTCATCCAGCTGTTATGACTGTCTAATTTGTGCCTGGCAGCCGTCTGAGCTGTTAAAGGTCCCATGTTGCACTTTTCCTGCAGTTTTAAAATATTGCAGATTTCAAATAAACACTCAGAGAAACCAAATCTCGCAAGGTTGGATGGTGGGTCCAGGTGGACTTTAATTATGTCATGAGTAATGTTGGGCATGGATCTCCTCCCAGCTAGAAGCCGTCATTCAGCTTTTATGACTATGTTGTTGCTGTTATAATCTAATTTGTACCTGGCAACCGCGTGAGCTGTTAAGTCAGTGATTGATGGCAACATATTGACACAAGGCGGATTATTAAAATATTAAAAACATAGTAAAAAAAGCACAGAGGTGCAGCGGCTGTAACACAGCTATCCAGTGTCCCATAGTCATTCATGTAAGTTGATATTTTACAGACACACGGTGCTGCCCAGCGGATAATGAAAAACACAACAACAAAAAGTTTCCTAAAAGCTCCACTCCAGTCATTATTACCTTCAGAGTTTAACGTCAGTGTTAAACAGAGAGCTGGGGCCGTGGTGAATGAACCAACATTAGCGTCGCCTTCTGTCTGCGATAACCGAAGCTAGGGAACATTAAAGCGCTAAGGTTGTCAACAGTACCTGCCGTTTAAAGCTCTCATCCGTTTATCTGCTTCACAGCCGAGGTTAAAACACACAAACACCTGGCAGACTAGCTTCAAAAAAAGCAGCCCCACTCCCTATTCAACACACAGACAGGGGACAAAAAGCGTGACAGGGCTAAAATAGGTGTAGCTTTTCGGCTACGTTAGCTAGCCGAGCTACTGTTTGGTAGGTAGAGGGGGACGTTACCTAACCACGGGAACAAATATTTGCGTTTTTTTTATTCCGCCACAAATTAAAAAAAGCTCCAAAACCACAAGCCAACATCAATTTATTATGTTCCTGTTTCACTTTCCAGTGAGAACCCCACTGGAGCTAGCTAACTAGCCTAATTGGCTCAAGTCACAGCCTCAGTTCTTTGCCCTCATTTTTTGGTTAAATCCTGGAGCACACTGGGATCCAGAGAAAATGAACCAGTGTCTGTCTGCCTGCCTGTCTGCCTCAACACGCCGCTGTCCTCCAACAAAATATGTCCTCTCTCTCTCTCCCCATCTCTCTCTCTCTCTCTCTCTCTCTCTGAGCAGGCTTTTATCATGGGAAGAAATACTCACTGTTCTGCAGTACAAGCAAATGGAGCACCGCTGTTGTCTTGTTAGTGGGTGCAGCTCGGCTCGCAGGGAACAGCAGCCGCAGACTGGCTCTCAGCTAACGTTATCATAGCTGGCTGCTCCCAGGTCCAAGCTCTGAGGCTCTCAGAGAGAGAGAGACGGCTGAGGGCGGTCAACCTGCGACCCCTGCCGGACACATGGCAGAAATTACAGCCCAACTGCTGCATCACTGTGAGGGGGGTGCGATTGTACAAGAATTCGCAAAAATAAATATATTTGCAAATGCATGAGAGGGGTGTTCTGTTTCCATACACTCAGACTTGTGAATGTGTGCATGCGTTTGATTTTTCAGATTTGCAAGTGAACAGATATTTGAATGTGTGAAAGAAACTGTAAACGCAGCTAGAAAATTCCGGGAGAATTTTTGAATGTTCCTGCTGCTTGGTGCGTGAACTTCCCTCCTCACGTTTCATTCTGCACAAAGGACGTTATATTCAGTTTCATTCATGTCGTCATCCTGACACTGACCTGCAGGTGTCCCTCAGAAAGCCTTTTGAAGCTGTCATGACTGGCCAAAATAAACTCACACTGATGGTTTCAAACACAAATTTGTCCCCACAACAACAGAGAGACATGTATACACACATGTACATGCCCTAACAGAAGTTGATACATCCCCATATAGACTTCTAGCTTCTAAGATCGAACTTTTATTACCTACCTACCTTACCTCCCAAAAAACAGTTCCAATAAATTACACCTTTAATACATAACACAATGATATCTTTGTGTGCTCATATACTTTTTTAGACATTGTTTAAAATATAATTTGAAATATTTTTTCTGCAATTGCATGAATGCGTGATATTGATTTTTAACAGAGAAGTGGCAATTTACATTTTCACAAACGTCAGTATTTGAAATGTGGAGCACAACCATGTGTTTAGTCACCATCAGTTAAATTTAATTAGTACTCACTTGACTGAAATAAAAACGCTGTGGTAAATGTTTAAAGAGGGAAATCAGCTCTTCTCTGCTCTGCAGTCCAACATAGGTTATTAATTGATTAAATAATCATTAAAGTAGATTCAAATGAACACGTAATCCACATATGTTCAATCAATATCTAATATCTATATAATTTTGACCTGAGCAGGTTTAGTGGTTTGAAACAACTGACCAATGATTTTAAACAGTAGGTTGTATTGTCTGATAACAACTGACTCTCTGTGGTCTCTGGCCCCACTATCACAATGTGTGGCCCCTGGCCCTCAGGGATCAGAAAAGAACCTGTAGCAAGTTGAAGTTGTACTAATTGCTGTGTAATAAAAACACTGATAATTTAAAGGGTAAGCCTTGGTTTCCTGTAAAACATAACGATAAACATGGCCCTTTTTTTTTTTGACTGTGAATGCAACACAGAATGTTTTAGTTGTGGCTTTACCACTAAGTGGCAGTAAAGACCGCTGTGCTCAGTGTTTCACTTCCAACTCTTCAAGGTCTAGAAATTAATGTACTTTACAATTTTCTTTAAGCTAGAGTAGCTTTAGCTTTTAGTTGTAGCATTTAGCACAAAGCCCCATGATGTTTTTACAGAACCTTCAGCTGTGTAAAAGACAGAGAATGTAATCCCATAATATTTATGCTTCTTCTCTTTCATGGTCATCGTGAAAGACTAACTTTTATTCAGTGGCCTAGGTCTGATAGGTGGTTGGTGGTTGTTCTGTTTGTATTTGTGTTTATGTGCACTGAAAATACATCATAAATATACCTTAATCAAAAGACAAACTTAGTCAATGACAAAAGAAAGTTATTAAAAATTCATGTCTCGTAGAAAAGTTGCTTTCTTGCAGGCTGTGGTTTTGCTGCAGCTGTGGTAAATTTGTTGGCCACATAGATTGACTGATTAAAATGTAGTTATCTACAGTAGCTGCTTTGTCTTTTACCTGATCAGGCTCCAGCAGGAAATAGTTCATCACACCATCAACGCCTGTTGTGACAATAAGGTTTAATTTCAATGTTTCACAAAGCATAAACGATTACACAATGTATTTCAAATTCCCATTTTGACAGTTTCACTTTCTTCGCTGGTGTATTTGTTTCTTTCCACCTCAGCGACTGAATTCAACCAGATAATAATATAGAAATGAGAATGATTATTTGTAGTATGAATACACAGGAGGTAAATATGTGATACCCAGTGAATACCCAAAGTAATCAAGGAGCATGAATTAATTGATAAATGCAATTGCTGTGTTTTTGTGCCGATTGTACGGCGTCAGCTCGGGGCCCGGATCTTTACACAATCACAGAGGACAAAGTGATGTCACCGCCGATCTCCAGGGTGGTGATTTGTTGGAGGTGAGTGAAACGGTGCTTGTAGTTGTGCGTCTGCATCCCGTTGACCACGATCCTGAAGGAGTGACCTTCACAGCAGATGGTCAACTGAAAGACAGAGACACAGCAAACTTGTTCACACTTGTTTTTTGAACATGACGTGGAAGATGATGTTATCTCTGCGTGCACCGTCAGCGCAGTGTTCCCAGCCGTACCGTGAAAGGTTGCCCCTGACGGAAGGGCATCCCTCCACCTCGCTCCTCGGGGCCCCACTGCTCCCACTGCTTGGTGTTTCGAACCACCACGTTCTCGCTGAAACGTGGGTTGTAATGCAGAGCGATGCCAGACTGATAGCTGAGATTCACATGGAACCTGAGAGGAGACACAGAGGAGAGGCGTGAGGACAACATCACACTGGACCGACGTTGCAGATAATGGTCAGTTTCCTCGTCTCTCAGCTGATGTGAACAGTTGTACAATGTCTTCAGTGGTTGTGCAGGAGCTTTTTCGAGTCTAGGAACATTTTCCTAATGATCATATTAAGTATCAGCTCAGATTGTGAATTGCATTTCTTAGTTAAAGTTAGTTAAAGTTGTGTTTTTGGCCACTTTATACCTTTATCAGATAGAGCCAGACAGACAGGGAATTCAGGCAGAGGGTAGGGGAACGACATGTAGCAAAGTGAAGGTAGTCGGACCGGGGACTCGCTGCTCAGGAGATTTGAGCCCTAACCATTCGGCCATCAGGACGCTGCAGTGAACTGCATTTTCAACTCAAAACCTGCATCAAAACTGGAGACATTGGTTTGAAATATGTGGAGTTCACCAGGTAAGAAGGGTCTAATGTAAAAACTCAATGGAGTAGCATTATAGGAAGCGAAGGATCCTAAAAGTCTGAATATTTCAACCTTTGCTGCTTTGACTTTGTCCACTTTCATTCGTTTCCTGTGAATCTATTGAACTGTAATTTGAAATCAGTGGAGTGACCCTTTAAACAGCTGGGAAATACAAGTACTGTAAAATGCATGTATTTATTACTTTATTATTGTCTTTAGACAATAATGTCTTCATACATATTAATAAGCTGCACACATAGAGGAAATTCTGAGTTAGATTTCATCACATACCAGCCAAGATAGCAATGTAATGAAATACTGTATAAGTGTAGATTAATTAAAACCACATTAAAAACAGCTCGAGTAACGTCACTGAGTCTGAACTGTATCATCTCTTTATAAATGATTCCCTGAGGAAATCAAACTCCCAGCGTTGGTTGTTTTTTGATGCTTTGGTTTGTTTTGGGAGCTTGAACCGTTTGTTTCTTATCAAACTGTGTAAAACACAGTTTTTCTTCACAATGTGGAAACAGTGGTCACTTCCTGTTTTGAGAACAATCCCTGCCATGGGAAAAACTCAACAATAGGCGCAGTTCACGCATCGAGAGTCGCTCAGCATGCAAAGGAGAAAGCAGATGCACCAGATAAATACAGACCATCGACGTGTCAGACGATCCTTTTTCTACATGAATAAACATTGTGAAAATGTGATTTGCTTCATCAGTCATCTTCCTGCAGCTGCAATCAAAGGGGAGGTTCATGTCACCTCATGCAATGATGGTTTCGCAGTTTTTTATGTCACCAGATGTTTTGAGGAAATAGTAAACGCTGCTATTAACGTTACATATTCAGTTTCCAAATATGCAGGAGAATGTTTAAACTGCTTGTTCCCCATGTATGAAACCCAACACGTAGTTATCATTCCTGCAAGTGACATTCAAAGTGGCACACTTCGTGACTCCCCAATAAAAAACATACAAGAGCAGTTCCTGTGATCACACAGCCATCCGCTTTCGACGCTTCTCCTCTGTCATTTGCACAATAATTACTATAATTAAGACCGGTTAGATGTGGGTTCATGTTAACACGCAATAAATCTTGATTAACTGTCTGACAATATGTGAAACTGGTTAAATTATCACAGCAAATATGAAACATCAAGTTAACAAAGTGTCCTGAAACAACAATGATGATTCACTTTGCTGTTTCCAGTTGTTTTGTACAGTTCAGATTAAATCTATGATTCACAGTAGATCCTTTGTTTGTGGTTCTGTACTGAACGACTGCGCCGGGATCCTGACGGTTCACTTTACTCAGCTCAGTTTGAGGAGAAAGATTTTACATCCATACGGAAGAACTCTTTGACCCAGTCTACACAGGAAATGAGCATAAAATAAGTTTGTGAGCTTCTCTGCAGCTGATTAATCCTGTATTATTATTTCATCAGTGCAATGGGATAATTATTAAATTAAACTTCAAAATAAAAGTTAAATAATATACTTTTTGTACTTGTAACTATGTATAATAAACAAGCAGACACTTAATGCAGTTATAACAAACAGCTGTCTGCCTTAATTCATCTAAACATTATTTTATATACAATAAATTAGAATATTATTTTTGAAGTGATATTTTATAGTAATATTGTGTTAATGCTAATGTCAGTGCAAATATTTATATTATTTTGATTATATATTTGTCTGTATTGTAAAGTGTATATTTTACTGGGTTTGATTTCATTCCTATTTCTCTCAACTACTCTGGGCCGTAGGTCAGAGTCTTCAGGCTTGAGGTGTAAAGTTAATTGGTTTTAAAGTGAAATCCAGCTGCTGATAATGAAGTCAGACCTTGTGGCACTGGGCTGAACAGTCCCCTGGATGGTGATGGTCCTGCCAGGTGTGAGTCCTCCACTGATGATGCCCATGTATGGAACATTCTGTGCAGAGATGGAATAGGAATTCATTATTTATTTTCATTTATTGTTTATTTATGAGGACTTCCTGAACCTTACGCCCTTTGTGTAGTGTTCTGTGTAGTTGCCTTGTGTTCTTTTGGACTGTCCCTAATCCATAGTATACACACACAATCTAAGCAGATTCAGTGCAGTACATTCAAACCATCTAAGGACAGGACACCAAAAACTATCCACACAGCAAGATAATACTACAAGTAATTGAAAAATCTGTTTATTTTTCTTATAATTTGTGTGACCTGACCCTTTAACTCAACCAAAAAGGATTGTCCCTGCCCCAACGAGAAGCTCTGTGTGCCAGATACTCACAAACATTACAGGAGGAAACCCTGGCTGGGAGGGGAATCCAGGCTGAGGTGGAAATGCCGGACAAGAAGGGAAGCCAGCCTGGGTGGGATAGGCTACATGTGAACCAAATGCAGGCTGAGCAGGAAATGCCGTCCGTCCAGAGAGAAAAAACAGAATGAAACCATTTTAATCTCATTCACATTTCTGTATTAGTCCTCAGATTCCCTACATGTGGATTTATTTATCAGGTTTGGGATCATTTGTAACAAACTGTACATGAAACACAATTAATGCCTTATTGGTTTTTAATTAATTCTCCTAACATCCTTACCACAGGGCTCTGGAAGGCAATGGAGGAAATTTCTACTTTCCCGCCTATGGAGATGGTGTCCACTTGGTGAAAGGCAATACGGTGTCTGTAGTCCATGAAGAATTGGCCGTTGACGTTCACCTGGAGCAAGCAAATATTTGTGTTTAATTTCGGGGCACAGAAAAATATTTTACACATAAATAGCTATGTTGGTATTCTCCGCAGGAAGTCAAACACGTTCAGTTGGCGTTGGCGTCCCTCAGGGTCGCCCCTCGTCACAGGCTCGGTTTGTGATTTGTCATGGACAGGATTTCTTTTTGTTTCAGATTATGAAGAGCTCTGGCTCTGGAACAGACCTGGAAGGAATCACGGGAGACGGTGATGAGCAGGCTGAAGGACGAGCCGGCGGGGAACGGAGAATTGTAATTCCTCTCCTCGCTGCCCCAGCTGCCGTTCTGCAAGGTGTTTGCAACCACATAAGCAGGGTGATTGTCGTACCGCGGGTTAAAGTGGAGAGCAATGTTCGCATTGGGTCTGGAACCACACTGGAAATTCACATGGAACCTGGGAAAAACAGAAGTCAATCATTTAATGGCGCAGAAGATACTGACAATCATTTACTTTGTGCTATGGCTTAAAAACTTCTTTCTGCTTACAGAAGCCTGTATGGAACTTTTTACGTCGTAAGCCATGGGAAACAACAACTGATGAAGTCCATATGAGTTTAGATTGTCTTGCCAACGGCTTTGCAAATGTTTTAGAGGAAGGCAAATGATTTAAATTTAAAGTTAGTCACCAATAATTTATTTTACAAGAAAATGAGTCAGGATATCTTTAACATACATTACAGAATCATAATGAAATAAATTATCACTAAGGGTGAATTTTATCATGAGGACATGATAATTCATTAAACATAAAGCGACCTCCTGTTAGTCAGACTGAAATTAAGTTATTAACAAACATAAAAGCATCATATTTCTCATTTTAATAAGTTAGTTTTTATATTCTTTTTTTTTTATTATATTACTTCATTATCCATTTACCGTATTCACCTTTCCAGTACTTTCATGAATGTGTCCTGTTGCAAACTGATATAAAAAGTAATTATTTCCTAACGATTTGATAAGTAAATATCAAGCCAATCATTAACAGTAGGTGTCTCTGGTTTGAACGACTCTCTACTTCTACTTTCTCCTTCCAGCAGCACAATGTTATGAGTGACAGCTGAGAAATAAAGTAAAGTAAAGCTGTGATAATGATGATGATGTTGATGATGATGATGATGATGATGTTGATGATGATGATGATCATGATGATGATGAAGAAGAGCAGTCTGACCTGTCAGCTCCAGGCAGGACTCGTCCACTGATGCTGATTGACTTCCCCTCCTGCAGACCGCCATGGATCGATCCAGTGAAGGGGATTCTCTAGAGAAGACGGGACTTTACATGAGAACAGCTGCTTTTCATCACATCAGATATAGAATATACTTGTTAATGAAACTGGAGGAAGTGAATCAAGGTTGCGTAAAGTTTAATCCTACAATCCCAAACATGTAGGTGGCGCTGTTGAGTTTTTCTTTCATTAATTTATTAATTTTATTTCCTCCCTTGACATTTCCTCACTGACACATCACCAAGAAAGTTGATTCTTTGTTGTATTTACAGTGCAAATCAGATAAATCCATGATCTTGGAGTTTTTATTGTATTAATATTGTTTTCCCACCAACACGAACAAATGAAGCAAAAATGTCAAATGGCCTCATTTTCCAGCTTCTGCAAGTTTCCTTCTCTCAGTCAAACAATGGTTAAAATCTCATTCAGATTCAGGAAGCAGAAGCTGCAATTTGTAGATGATTCACACCGCTCTATTATTATAGGATTATTATAAGGTCGTAAAACAAGTAAACGAGAACAGTTCTGAAATAAGTGTTAAATGTGGAAGTGCGTCTGAGCCGAACCTCAAAGCACATCTTAATGATACGCGGAGGATTCTTTCAATTTTGTTTTCGCAAGTATAATTTTGCCAATCGGGAAAGAAAAGTTCAATTACAACAATTTCCAGCCTAGTTCGTCTGCGCTTCGACCACAGCCAACTCCCAAGTAACGGGTCGAGCCAGAGTCCAGCCCTCTCCCCCGTCCAGCCAAACAGTCATCACAGTTTTCTCAGGAAAAATAAAGACTTAATGAAAAATACACAGACGCTTGAATCACTTACTGGGTTGTAAAAAGGCGACTGCTGAGTAAAAGCCATTGTTGTAGGTTTTGCTGCGCAGCAGGAAGTGTGCTCTGGACCCTGATGCAAAATTGGAGACTTTTAGTGTCTACGTTACGCCTTTATTCGACAGACAGACAGATAGGTTTCGATTTCTCTGTGGTAGGTGGTGTTTGTTTTAAGACAGCGCTCAGCGCAGCCACTGTGATTACAGACACGTTAAAGTTTCCATTAACAGGGTTTTATCAACTGGGTCAAACTGTCTGAAGCCTGTCGGTCAAACTCTGGACCGGCTCCATGAGGTTTATTTCAGTGTAAATGTGTCTCACTCCGATGATTCATGTTAACAGCCTGAAGATGAAGAGGTTTAGTTTGTAGGTGATCTCACAGAAACACAGGCCGCTGTCCGAGCTCTGGTGTCGGCTTCACGTTCCTCCGTCCCTCGGTCCACAGTGTGACCAGTCCCATCAGGACCATGCGTGTCTTAACGTGTACTCTGAATGTTTGTTCTGATGCATACAGTGAGTGTAGACTTTGTTCTTGCTTCACTGCAATAAAGAGAAAATAATAATTTTAAATGATTTAAAAAAATATGCATGTTTTAACTTGTACTGCTCAAATTTACCCATAAGTCAGCGGTGGAAGAAGTTGTGACTGTTTACTCAAGTTAAAGTATCTAATCTCACAGTGTAATTACTTCCTGCCTTCAAAGTCTTACTTAAATTGTATGTTTGTAACTAAACACTCGTTGGTGAGCTTCATATCAGCTCTTAAAAGTGCCATCAACTATTGTTAATTGCTCCCATGTTACTACGGCGACAGCATATTGTTTTTGGGTTGTCCGTCCGTCTGTACGTTGTCGCGGACACAATATCTCAGCAACGCCTCGAAGGAGCTTCTTCAAATTTGGCACAAACATTCACTTGGACTCACTGATGAACTGATTAAATTTTGGTGGTGGGGGTCAAAGGTCAAGGTAAGAGTGACCTTTTTTTTGACCTTGTGAACACTGTATCTGGAGATCTCCTCAAGGGAATCCCTTCAAGTTTGTCACAAACCTTCGTGATCAAAGGTCAAAGGTCAAAGGTTAAGGTCAGCGTGACCTCACAAAACCCTCTTTTACACGGCATTACACAGCAATTATGATGAAATTTCACACAAATGCTTAATATTTATATTAAACAATGTTATATATTATAATATATAACTCTGGATAAACAGGGATGTAACCTGAAGCTGCTCTGAGAGGCGGAAGCAGACAAGTGTGAGGCGGCAATTCTAGTTCCTTAAACTAATATCGTCACTCTCCTGCTTGGATTGTTGGATTTTATGAGGCTGACGATGACATTGTCTATGTCGACTGAAGAAAACATTTTGTCTGTGTCTGTTCCACTTTGAACTGAACTTCAGTTCTGGTTCATAGTCCTGGAGTCTTGAATCTGCTTTGCTCGGTTGGTATTCCTGCATCGCCCTCTCCCTCTCTCCTCCTTAGATACACAAACACAGTAAAATACAGGGGCTTGTTCACTGTTGATTTGGTGACACAGGTGTCATTGCTCAGGTGTGTCGATACTCTGTCAGCGTTCAACACAACCCGACGTTGTGGTTTCACCTCGAGTCCTCAAACCTAAACGACCTAAACGCAACAATACGACCTGTAGGAGCGCACCGGTGGCAGGCGTACCAGCCCTTTGTCGTCATGGCAACAATAATAAGGCCTGCATTACCACTAATTCTAACAATAACATTTAAAAAAAAAAAAAAAAAAAGCACATAAATTCACTGTAATGAATGAAGCAACTCAAACAAGTGTGAAGACGGCTGTGGCTCAGGACGTAGAGCAGGTCATCCACTAATGGGAAGCTCCTCCAGTCCACATACAGTATATAAGTGGAATCCATTTTCACAGAAAATAAATGAAAGGTTCGCTGCAGATTTTGCACAATACTTGTCTAAAAACCCTCCTACACCCTGCCTGCATTTTCCACTGAAATCCTGGAGTGACGCATCTAAAAGAATGAAGGAACGTCCTGGATCACTGACCGTCTCAAAGCAAAACTCAGAAAAGTAAAACTCTTAAAGGCAAACACACACCTGAGCAAATTGAAACGAAGCAGAAGATTGATTAGTAACCAGATGTGTGTAAAGATGATGTCATATTGTCCATACACCCACACACATTAAAGGTGTGATATTAGCTTGATTATTAGTCTAAAGTCAGTATATATAGAGAAGTTCCAGGCCAGTAGAGCAAAGGATGTCAGAAAAGGAAGTGAGTCACTTGATTGTGATTGACTCTTCTCGTTTTATTTATGGACTTTGAACACAAACAAAAACCATGTCCTTATCTGTTTACCCTGCACTACATCCTCTAAACTAAAAGTATTCAGACCTTTTGTGTGATGATAGAAAAAGTCACATCAGAAATAAGAGAGGAAGGAAAGTAAAAACACAAACAAGGCTTAAAAAGAAAAGATCTGAAATGGGAAACATTCATTCGGGTTCATCCTCTGCAGATCATGAATATCCACAGCTGATTTCATGGCTATCTGGCTTTTATTTTGTAGGAACCCATTCAAAAAAAACCCATTAACTTTGGTACGAGGGAACTGGAAGTGCTAAAATGCTAAAATTTATATCCATATTTAGATCAATTCTGTTCTGGGTCTAACGTTCTAATACTTTGTGATGCATTTCTAAACAGTAACTAACAGACATTCTGATGTTTAATAATGACGAGTCATGGACCTTTAATATGGACACTGTTTGTCCTGCAGCTCTCTCATACTGTCCTTCAGGAAAAGACCTGCAGGACACCCGGACTGAGAATCAATCTATTAACAACCTATTGATACGAGTCAATAAGGAGAATTGATGACTTATTATAGACTGAAAAAGTAATGGTTAGTAATGACTAACGTATAACTGCTCTTTCTAACACAGTTAACATGTAAAATTTGGAATGAAGGACTTTTACTTGTAGTAGAGATTTTTTATTTTCTTTTGCACTGTAGCATTGTTTGATACGAGGTCAGGCTCCAGGCATGTTGTCGAGTCATGTTGCTCTCTCAGTCCGCCAGGAAATGAAAGCTTCCACGCTTTTATTACAGAAGTTGATGAACAACCAGTCATGTGCTCCACACGAGTGGACTGACTGTAGTTCTTGTGAGGGTTGGAGAAAACGGTGGCATGACCGCAGATAAGACACAGCCCTATCAGCTGTGGCCAGCAGTGGAGTGTGTGTTGGTCAATGATCAGCCAAGACACGTATTCAACAACAAATTAAACTCTACATGCCAGATGTTCTCATGGTGCAGTTGTGGTTTATGAAATTGGGTTAAAATCTCTTATTTACATTTTAAGTGACAAGAAGAAATGAAAAAGTGAAATGGAGCCAAGGGCATGACAGTAAAACGTTATCATGCGTCGGTTATTTCCTTTTCAAATGCCTGGCTACAGGCCACCTTTCTGTTCCTCGTAAACTTCCCCTTCAGTTATTTCACACTGGACAAAAGACTGTGTGACAGTACATGACTTACTGTATATTCTGTATTTAAATGTTCCAGTGCTTCCGCAAACTTACAGTATGTTCCACTTATACTGAATAAATATCACGAGAGCAGGAAACAGGCTTTCATTACAGTAATATTAAGTTGATAATGTAGCTACATGATAGTAAGTGTTGGCACAGCTTTTGTTTATGTTGCACTTATCAAAGTTACAAATTCCTTCACATAAAATGATAAGAATAATAAACAGTAACGGAAACAGAGCACAGCTCCTGTAAATCTGTTCAATGCTCATCTTAGTCTTAGTAAGTCAGGTCTGTGTCTTGGCTATGTATCACTCAAAGCTCCCATTGCATAGTATAATGTGTAGTGTGATTATAGATCAGGTCTAGCTTCTATATTAATACTGTGAAAGTATCAAAGCCTCAGTCCACAGAGAAATGCACACAGCCTGTATTCAGAAACTGAGCCTTAAAACCAGCCGTCAGGACTTCTGGAACTTTGTGATGTCACAACAAAGCAGTCACCAAGCCCCGCCCACCTGGACCCACCATCCAAACCTTGCAGGATTTGGTTTCTCTGAGTGTTTTTACCTGAAATCTACTATATTTTTTATTGGATCAGTCAGAAAACAGTCAGCCAATCAGAAGAGAGGCTCAGAGCCTCCTCTCTTCTGATTGGCTCACCAACCTGTTGTTACTAGAGCTCCAGAGAGAAGCCTGAGAGAGGAGATGTAAAACTACACTGAGATGGTTTAAATATATCTTCTGATGGATCAACACCTCAATTAAAACACAGAAGAAGAAGAAAATATGGAGCTTTAAACCTGGTCTTGGTTTAAGTTGGACTAGATCTGATACTGGTACTGACTATATATATATATATGTATATGTATGTATGTATATATATGTATATACTATATTATAATATCGTATCCACATGGACTGACTGTTGTCACAGAAGGCAGCACACTGAGTCTTTGGAGATCAGCTTTAATGTCTACAGTTGTTCAGACCAGAAGTATCAACAAATCCTGTACAAAAATACTCTACAGATCAACCCCCCCCCCCCCCCCCAAAAAAACCAAAAAAAAAAAAACAATCAACCGACAACAGTTTCCACAGTGTCTAAAAATCTATACATAAATATGAATGAAGTACCAATCCAAATAGAAACTTGTACAAACATGAGCTCTGTGTATTAAATACAACCTCCAGCACTTTATATACATATATGCATTAGGTTATTATTTGATCATGTTCGATGGGGCTCCGCTGCACCTGTGAAGCCCATTAACAGTCAGTCAGTGTATATTGTGCTCCACACACACACACACACACACACACACACACACACACACACACACACACACTTTACCACTTCCTGTTCACCAAAATGAACAGGAAGTGGCTACACAGGAAAAAAAGACACACACTTTTCATACTTGAATGAATTTTCTGTGTTGTCTTCCAGTTCGCTGACAACGTGTCGCTCTGATTAAATCTCATTGTGGGAGGTGTCACTCAGTGGTTTTTCCATTTGATCCATTAATGGCGTCCGATGGATTGGAAAATTGTATCTATTCGTTACAGCAACACAAAGCCAAAGCTGCCCCAAGATACAGTCATTTAGAAGCAGCTGTTCATAAATGCCTGAGTTTGAATCGCGTCAAGTATTATTGCAGCACAGAGAAAGGCAGTGTCTCGCCATTAAGAGGCCACCTCATATGTCCGTATGGATTATCTAACACCATGGCGATGAAAATACAGTAAAGTATTGATTATTCATATTCTGGGGGAGCACAGTCTTCAGAAGATCAGTTCACTCAAATTACAATAATGAACCTTTTTCTCATTAGCTTTTGTGGTGCGTCTCTCCATGTAGATGTTGGTTTTTGTTGGTCCAGGTTCAGAGATATCTGTCTCTGAGATGTACCACAATAAAATGGGAGGTGAACAGCGTTTTTACAATTACAGTTTATGAAATAAGAATCTGTGGTTCATCGTCTTAAGTTAAACGTGTTAGCATGCTAACGTTTGCTGATTAGCACTAAACAAGTACAGCTGAGGCTGATGGGAACGTCATCCAAAGAATTGGAGAAAGTGATTATACTGTAATTACAACTGCAATTAATCCTCTGGGGACCATGAATGCCTGAGCAAAACTTCATGGAAATCCATCCGGTAGTCGAGATGTTGATATGGACCAAAGTGGCAAAGCGTTGGTTTCCAGTCGACCGTTTTCATAGGATCTAGTTCCACTCAAAACTGTCCTCGGTGTGTTCTAAACTAACGATGGAAATTAGTCAGTGTGGTGCTGTGAAAATAATTTCCCTCACCTCCATACAGACGGATACAGTATCTGTACCTGGAACAATAAAAACAAATTTGCATGGAGAGATCGCTACAGAAGCCCTGAAAGGCAAGTTGGTTTTTTTGGGTTTTTTTTTTGTGATTTCTTTTTAAAGTTTTTGTTTTTTAAAAATTCTCCTGACCAAAAAAAATCTCTTGCCTCTCAAGGTTTGTTTTCACAGATGAGAGGAAAACAAGTTAAATGAAAATATAATCTAGTTTTGTAAATTGGGTGAACCAACTGTTCAGATGTAAATCTTGTGCTGGCAACCTTGAAATAAATGTTTCTTTAACCTCTCCAGTAATTAGCCATAGCAGTAACATCTGCAGCCAACAGTCTTCCAGCTGTGGGGATTTATATTCACAGAGAAGCGTCGACAGATAGTGGTAAGAAAGTGGGAGGAGCAGCAGCGTGGTGTTCTTGTTTTTACAAGATATTTTCATGTGATACGACATTTTCTTGTTATGACTTGATGCCGAATAATTCAATATTTACAAGTTAAGTTTTGGCTTCATCTTGTCACATCACGAAAGTCTCTTGTTGTTTCGCAAGAAAAGTTTTTTGTTTTTAATGAAATAAATAGAGTGTATCGTTCACAGGCTGGACGTGCTGCTCGAGACAAGAACTCTGAAGAACACCTTGTCAGCATTTGCGTTTTTTTGAGTCAAATCCAAACGAGGTTTCAGTTTCAAAGAGGCTCTCAGCTGCTGTATTTGTACATGTATGGGCAGTGTGCATGCAGGCCCTGGTGGCAGTGATCTCTCAGACAGTGATGATGATCCCACGACCTTCACCAGCAGAACAACGGCGTGAAGCAGAACAGAAATCAGGAGCGATGAAGAAACGAGTTCAGCGCATGAACAGACAGAGAGGAACGGAGGCATAGACAGAGGGAGAAAACGCAGGATCCGAGGGAGACGGCGGAGATCGGGCACAACAGGAACAGGCAGAGGTGGATCGGTCGGCACCCAGAGGAGAGGAAGTGACAGAGAAGGAGAAAGAAGAAGTGAATCTCAGAAACACAAGACAGGAGTGTTACTTCAGGCTGTGAGAAGATAAAGGGAGTGTAGAGAGAGCAGCAACTAAAATGCCATTCAGGTTTAACAGAGTCTTTTTCCCTCAACATATAAAACAGCAGTCACATTAGTCAAGATCTCTTACATTAGTTGATACTCAGCAGGACAGCTTCATGATATTCACATTTCTCTATTTACAACATTTCCATTTGATGGATTGCATCTTGGTTCCTTTTAACTGGAACTCTTTTCTGACTTCACGCTTTGGTGACATAAAAATGTAGGTTGCGATTTCATATTTACTTATTTTTTTTTTATTGTCGGAGTGAATGATGCGGCGGGCTGCTTCATCCTGGATCATGAAAATTCTTTCTATGATACGTACTCGTTCCTCTTCCAGAAGTGTCCGGGATGGGACAGCCTGCGGTTCAGTTTGGGGAGCCTCTCCAGCATGCCCGTCAGCTGGGTGAACGTCGGTCTGTCGTCCGGCTCCGCCGACCAGCAGGCGGACAGGATCTCCTGCGGGGGATGGAAGGAAGAGGATTAACACGTGACCACGGGATGTTTTAGCTGAGGTTTCCATTGATCGGTATGTTAGCCACCTGCTAGCTTACAACTCTCGGCTGTGACTGCATCTCCAGCGAGCGCACGCTGTGACTCTGGTGATAAATCTAAAAGAGACGTATCTGAAAATCTAGTGCCGCTATTGATGCTACACATCTAACACAATCTGTAAACCTCAGCAGCTCGGACCACAAAAACCACAAGCTTCAACAATTTTTCAGTTTTACTCTGGGAACAAGTATCTGAGAGTCTGGACAGGTTCATAGTGAATAAGTAGGTCAGAGAGGTGCTGTGGAGGAAGGCTGTTTGGTTAAGGCTTTAGAGACACGTAGTAAAATGTTGTTATCATTCAATAAGTTTAATAAGTTAGTTATTCTGTCTTTATTATATTTAAGTGTTTCTGCCTCTGCCTGAGACAAGAAGCTTCTCACTCTGGACATATTCATCAAATGATAAAAGGCAGTTATTGTGACGTGGGGAACAATCTACACACACACACACACACACACACACACACACACACACACACACACTGATCTGTAGTTTCAGGTTCATGCTGTTACAGTAACTTGATGCTAATTCAAGCACGTACACAACTGCACAACAAATACTGATTGTTCACTAAATGTTAAAGTAACAATTACTTTATGGATCCACTATCTCTGAATCATTTTCTAAAACTTTTCCTGGAACAAACAATTTAATTTGGTAACTTGTTTTATTAAGCAGATATGAAACAGGCTCCAGTGGCCACAGCCATGTTCTTATGTATGTAATCTACACCTACCGTGACCTCCTTGCCCAGGTTGGAATCTGCCAGCACCTTCTTGATGCCCTCGCCGCTGCCCACTTGCCAGATTTTAGCCTCCACAGGTTGCTTGGTGATTGGCCAGTCTCCGACCTGCAGCTCATACCAGACTGTGCTGAAAACGACGCGGCACAAGAATATCGCATCAGGACGACTGGTGACAGTGAAACCGCCTCATGTGTTAAGACTCTTCTACAACCACCTGTGTCCATGTGAGTCTAAGCAAACATGGCAAATGGAGTCTGAAGCACACGGAAATAAAGCTTTCAAAAAATGTGCACATACACTAAGAAATAAAAGATGTAGAACAGGTCTGGCTGCTTTCATGAGCTGAACTGGTACAGTTACACAAAAATGACTGATGCATTAGCATTAGCTTTTGCAACTGGTGCATTCGCTTTTCACCAAGCACCAAAGACAAAAACTAAAAACAAAGTAAAGGTGTAGGAGCTCATGAAACGCTGCTTTAAATCTTTGTTACTGTGAAGTATATTTTCAATACTTTTTTATCTAAATAAAGCACAAACTGAGTGTTAATAAAGATCATGAATCAATACCCAAACGCGTAAACGTCAGCAGCTTTGGAGAAAGGCAGCTGGTCCTCGTCGACCTCTGGGCTCATCTTTCGAACGATCTCTGGAGCCAGGTAGTAGATCCAGCCCTGCGGTATCCGCAACACATTCTTTCTTCTAAACACACACACACACACACACACACACACATAAACACAGTACTGATGAAGACAGAGTAACCATTCCTTTATTTGTGGATTAGGGCCACATGTGAATTTTTATTTATCTATTTATTTTTTAAGAAACCAGACATTTTTATGATCCTTCCTCCGTACTCTCGTACCTTCCTTCCTGTACGACTCCAGACATTCCAAACAGGCCGAAGTCCGTGATCACCACCTTGTTTGTGTCGTAGAAGACGTTCTTCGACTTCAGGTCCTTGTGAATGATGCCTTTGGCGTGAAGATAACCCATTCCCTGCGAGAGAGAGACGGGTCGTGATGCTGAGGCAAGGCTTTCAAATTAGTGGGTGCGGTGTGTGTGTGTGTGTGTGTGTGTGAATGTGTGTGTGTGTGTGTGTGTGTCTGATGTGTGTTAAAATAAAAATTCAGAATGGGGACAAAAGTCAAGCGGCTGTTTGTTGGTTAAACCTCGGTTTTAGGGTTAGAATGAGGTTTGGGTTAAATTTAGTCAGTAAACAATCATGACCAACACGTGTGTTGAGTGAGATCACAGTTTGAAGTCCTCTCTAGTTGAAGGTTAGTGATTAAAAAAAAAAAAGCAACAGGTCAGTAGTAACTGAAAGAAGAAAGGACGGGAGCCTCTGAAGCTGGAACATTATTATTATGTTTAAATAAACAGAAATATCCCAAAAACACAAAAAGTGAATTCAAATTGAACATAAATTCTCTTCCTTCTCTTCTTCTTTGTGCATTTCTTTACTGCTGTTTCACACAATCAGCTGACATACCTGAGATAAACCTTCTGTAGACTAAAATCACCTGATGATATTAATATTAGGCTTCAATAAACACCAGTCTGTTGTGTGATATTTAGCTTTATGGATGATCATATAACGGCAGCTGTCTCACCTTTACGATCTCCTGTGCAATCTGTCTGGTTTTATTGATGTCCAGCATGGTTCCTCGTTCTCTTACAACAGAGTACAGAGTCAAACCTTTACAGAAGCTGCAGAGGAAACACACAAAATATTTACCATCTGTTACTGAAACGGAAGATCACGTGGAATCACATATTTGATATTGAAAATCAGCAGCAGAACTGGGTGCGGGTTGTTTTTGCAGCTGTACCTGGTGATGATGGCGAGGTGGGGCGGGGCCATGCAGGCGCCCATGAACAGGACGACGTTCTCGTGCCTGGTCTGCCTGTAGTTCATCACCTCCTTCTTGAAGAGCTTCAGGTGATCCTGGTTGTTGCCGTCGACCTCCATCAGGCGAATGGCCACCTCGCCGTGCCAGCGGCCCTTGTGCACCTTCCCCCAGCGACCCTGCAGAGTCACACAGTCACACAGTGTCAGCTGTGATGAGGATATTTCATGTTTTGTGTTTTGTGTGTGTGTTTGTCACGTCTTCCGTCTTCACCTTGCCGATGAGCTCTCCCAGCTGCAGCTGCTCGTACGGGATGTCCCACTCCTGCAGGTAGACGCTGGTCTGGCTGGCTTTACGGGAGATCTGGCCCTTCCAGCGGCCGGCGGCCCCGCGGCGACATATGGAAGACGGCAGGTCCTCGAGCCCGTCCTCGTCACACTCCTCTGTGGGAAAGCTCTTTTTACTGCTGCACCTGTCAGCTGCTTCCTCGTCCTCCGCTGGGTAGTCTTCCTCCGCCTCCTCCTCCTCCTGGGACACGGAATTGTTTCATTCATTATTACAGCTTATACATATTCAGCTCTACGGGCTCATCCGGCACAAAACAGTCGCACTAATGAGTCCAGATCTACAATGGAGTGTGTGTTTGTTTGTATATTTCTTGATTTGAAGAACATGAAGAACAAGAATATAAGTACATACTTCTTAGCCTCTGGGAATATCACTACAAAATAAAGTTATTTACTACGCATGGGATTGTTTCCCACAGTAATAAGCTCCACAGCAGAACACTGGCAGTTCATATAAACCACACAAACACACACACACACAATGTCTATAAATAACACAGGCAACTGCTGTAACTCTCTGTATGTCTGTGAACACTCACCCCTCCTTTAACTGCAGCTGGGAGCTGTGTGTCGGTGACGGACACCTGTGACGCTCTGAAGGAAAAAACCACAAGAGCCGACAAAATTATAATATTTACAACGACTGAGTTCATGTGCAGTAGATACCAGACGGACGGGATTCTCACAGTGGCAGGAGACAGTAAGTGAACCCTGTGTATTTGTGTTTATGTATGAATTCCCACGTTTATCAAGGACTTCCTCCTGAACATTGAGCAGTTACTGGAAGAGCTGGTTTCAGGTTCAATCGATTATTAAATCCAAGGGTTCACTTACTTTTTTCCACCAGCACTGAGAGCGTTTAATGGTTCTGTTCAATAAAAACACTTCTACATTATCTACATTTGTGACTTAGGTGATGATCAGATCACGTTTCATCACCAGTTAATGCAGAGAACCGGGTGATTCAGAGAGTTCACACACTTTTTCTTGCCGAAAAAATCTGTGACGTATAAGAATTTCTTTTTTAAACAACAAAACATCACATAAAAAACTGTTTTTCATTAATATATATTATGATTCACGTTTCATGAAGATATATAACCCAGAACATCAACAAACACAATGATGTGTTTTAGAAGTGTGGTGGAAAGTTCAGTGTTAAAATAAACCTGTCAGCGCCCTCTGGTGGTCAAACGGTGTCATGGCAACACATTTCTTGTTACTTGCAGCTGACATGTATGAACCATATCTGTAACGAGCTAATATCAGCTGATCCAGTGCTGTACACCGTCACAGTGTCAGTGTTGCTGTCTCTTACCCGGACTCATAGTAGCTGACGGACTGTTGAACAGCTGGATACGTGGAGGCAGGAACATCTGTTGGAAAATAGATAAATAATAAAGTTTTCTGCAGGAACACAACAGTAATTCTCATCACTCAGAAATGCTGCATTAATACTTTCTACGTGTTACTTAGTGAATTCAGAACAAAAGGATGTTCAATGTCTAAAGATCTTGAACGTTCACACACAGTCCAATGCAACAGTTTTAAAGTAAATAAAGTTAATACAACCTCAGCAGCTAATAGACAAAAAGAACTTTTACATATTAACACACTGTTATTTTTTATTCCATGAATTAAAAAAAATTGAAAAAATTAAACAGCAGTTGTGACATGTGTCAAAAATAGAGAAAGAGTCTTTTTCTATTCTTGATTTAGGAATTTTATTTGTTTACTCATCTAAAATTGCAAAATGAAACTTCTGGCCCAACACATGCCGCCGTCCTCGGCCCGAGTCTGGCCACATATCCTTCCACATCTGGACAGATTCTGGCTGACAGCCTGAAGATTCTCTGTGTGTGTGCACCAGAGTTGGTCCAGATGTGGAAGTAGCATCCAAAAATCAAGCTGTATTTGGGCCAGAATCGGGCTGAGAAACACAAGCAAGTGGCCCGACTGTTTCGCTATCTGGGATTCAAGTCTTTCGCTGCAGAGGTTTAAAGGAACTTCGGGTATTTAGTTTTAATAAAACGTTGGAGGACTCAAAAGAGAAGAGTTCAAACAGGACGACCTGTTTCAATTTAAAAAGATCTTCCTTCTAAACTCAAACATCGTCTCATTTCTTATTATTTTCAGCTCTAGACTAAATGTTAGAAACATCTCTCGGTATAAACTAATACAATAACTCAATATCTTCTGCAGGTGAAGAAGCTGCCCTGTGTACATGATGCGGCTGCTGACCTGGGAAGTGGAAGCGGTTGTCACGGGAACCCCGCGGTGAAGCGTTGGGTGGGGGGGTGGTGCTGACACTCGGGGGGTTACTCTGCTGGAAATGTGCTGGGGAGGAAGGTGTGGAGGAGGTGGCTGACGACGGGTTACTGCTGGAATCCATCTGGTTCAGAGTGACGGGAGGCTCCTGATGAACACACACACACACACTACACCAACACGACACACACACACACACACACACACACACACACACACACACGGTTCAACTGTTTCAGACATGTGCGTTGTCACATCCGGCTCCTCTGGGTAATGTCTAGAAAGGTTCAGGGCTGCAGTGCATTGTGGGAAAGCAGCTGTACTTACCCTCTTGGTGATTGCCTTTGGTAAAGTGCCGTACTGCTGCGGGATCTCCGCCGTGTGATCGATCCGGTTATTGATATCCGATGGCACCGACTCTGCCCGGCGCATCCTTGGCACTAAAAGTCAGATTCAAACATCGGCTCGTTTGCATCACACTGAATAATGAAGGACGGAAACAACAGACAGGCGACCGTGCGTTCACTGAAACAAGTGTACAGCTCATTACGGATAAAATAGTCCATCTTTTGTACAAAAATATAATCTGAAGTTGATCTGAAGCTGTAGAGACGATAGAGGCTGAGCACAGAAACACGGTCCGGGGAAACAAAGACAGAATTTCATATTAAAACGTGGAGCTGCACCAACGACTCGTCTCGTCAGACGTGAAGCCGTCATGTCAGCTCTCATTACAGCAGCTGAATGACTGAGTTTATTTTATTTTTTTCTTACTGCAACTCAGTATAAGAGCATGGCGGCTATAAACTGTAACTTGAGTTTATAGTCTTGTCTCAGAATCATTTAACTACGAAACTAAGAGTGAAGAGCAGCTGACTTGTTTGACTCTCACAGGTCTGATGTTGATGATTTATTATTTCATTATTGTTCCATCTCATTTAACATCAATGTTTTAACATGTTTTTATGTTCATTTTATGACTCATATGAAAGTATCTCTGGTACGACCTCCTCTCTCTCCGTACCGTGTGACTCTGACGCCGTCAGCAGCTTTTCAAGACGCTTCATAAAATAACATTTTTGAGACTCGTCCTGCGTGTGTGTTCGGAGCCTCACCAGTTGCTAAATGAGTGTTATCATGGTTCATTTCATGCATGCTTCTGGGTATGTTGCAATGACCCGCCCACACCTGCGTCAGGTGGGATTAGCCAGAGTTGCTTTATTGTTTTCTGATGCTACAAGTTGATGACATCAGACGTTAGCCCAGAAAAGTTTGAAATTGTGAAATAATAAATGAGCAATGAGCTCAGGAAGTGAGATTAATATTTGGTCCAGATGCACCGAAACAAGATGACAAGCTGTAACAGGCAAATTCCCCAAACACAAAAAAATTATATATTTCATCACAATTGGTGTAAATGTGTTCAGCTGGATTCAAATCTACAGACATGACTCTTTAATGAAGCCCTTATATCTCCTCGACAAATCCATGACAATTTAATGTAAGAATAAAAAATGAGGCTGAATGTTTCTTACATGTGAGAAATGATATCCGACAGGAGGGAGCATCTTTAGTACATTTGTTGTGGCACTTTAACCTGCGAACAGATGGACAGTGATGAGACCATAACAAACAGTACTATCCACAAACAGTGTGTGTGTGTGTGTGTGTGTGTGTGTGTGTGTGTGTGTGTGTGGAGGGGGGAGGGCTTGTGTTTACAGTCTCTTACTTGCAGTGCTTGCACTTTACACCAAACATCATGCTCTTGTGACAGACCTGGCAGGTCTGCGAGAGCCAGGACTTGGTTGAAAACCTGCAGAGGACAGAAAAATAATGAATATGACACATGATGATCTGCTAACAACTGATGCAGGAATAAAGTTAAAGCTTTATATTACATGTAAATGAACGTTTGTTACATTCAAGCCAAACTAGTTCACACATTGCTGAGTAAGCCCATCGGAGCCAGAGTGAATCTCTGTATTTCACAGTTTCAAATCCGGTGTCGATGACTGATTTGCAGTGCAGCCACACGATTGGCTGAGTGGATAATTGCAAGGATAAGCAAGTGTACAGGTGTTCCTAATAAAGTGCATGAATACTGGATCAGGATGAGGGATCGAAACCTGGATAAAAAAAAAAAACTTGTGATCAGGACGTTCAGTTTTTAAAATGCTGCGTGCAACATGTGGACAGTTTCGCCAGAGGGTGGTGCAAGAGCAAAGCTCATGGAGTGTCCGGTAATAATAAAACACAGCAGCAACAAACACAGACACACACAGTTAGAGAGCAGCTGCTGAACATACAGGAGCTTTTAGCAGCTGAAGAACCTGAGGGTTTTGTCTTAAAGCCGGCGGAGACCAAAACAGAGCAAAAGGCAGAGTGATGGACTCAAACACAACTCCAGATGAAAGATAATGTGGCTCCACAACAGCTGGATGTGTAAATAACCGTTCACCATATGAACTTAAATGGTAATTACAACGTCTGTGGTGTGTCTCCCACTGGCCCCCGAGTGGCTACAGCAATGTGAAGGTCACAGGACGTGACACTAAACGGTGATTTACACTGAGTCACATTTCTGATCAGGGAAATGTGACCTGGGAATTTACAGCAGGGTTTTCTAAATAAAATAAAAAAACAAATGAAATCCTCCTCATGATGTGATTCAGCTGAACGCGGAGCTGAAGATCAACACTCAAACATCGACCGTCTGTAAGATAAACAGCGCGTCGGACTGAGCTCTCTCCACATTGTTCGAATGCCTGGATTCTCACAGCGGTTTGTGTCAGTGTGACTGTCCCAGTCCGACCTTCACAGGGAGCTAAACAGGAAACCACAGTAATGATAGTGGAATGTTAATCAGATGGAAAATTCCTAAACAGCTTGTGGAGATGTTTATTTGTAGAGGCATCAAACACACAGTGAGCTGGGCCACTTGTAGTTCACTCAAAGTATTGGAAAAAAAAAAAAGAAAAAAGAAAGGCCATTTAAATATGTGAAGAAAAACATTAAAAGGGCTCTTCACAGATTTTACACACAGAGGTCAGTTTACTGTCGCAGTTAGTCCGACTCATCGTGTGAAAACAGCTGCGCCACGTTTCTGATGAAGCTCTGTGAAGTCTGAGAAATGAACAGAAAGACGTCAGGAAGAAGTGACGCGGCGCCAAAGTTTCTCTCGAACGTGGAAACATTCATTGGGCTCAGTTCTGCAAGATTAAACTTTCATTGCATCATCGTCGTTTCTACTTTGCTAACACGCTACGCTGGGGTAACTGACCTGTGTGTTACAGCCAGGCCAATGTCTCTCCTCATTGTCTGAGGGGAACTTCTGAGCATGGTCACATCTGTGAAGAGCAACAATAAAAATGTGCAAGTGTCAAAAACACAATAGGAAACAGTGGGACAGTGAAAATGAGAGCTGAAATCCAGCCCTGTATCTCTGCAGGGGGCGGGGGGGGGTACTCACTGTCCAGCAGGGTGGGGGTGGCGGGCATCATGTAAGGGGCTGAGGCCGGGACGGGGCCGGGCGTTCGCGCAGACAGCAGCGGCGACGGCAGCGCCGAGTCCTCAGGACCGTTCCCGTTGATGTGAATGGCAGCCAGAACTTTGTTCTTCTTACCGGCTCTGAAAACGAGAGACGGACACTTAGTGCGCGTCCTGTGACACTGTGACATCACAACATCATGTCAGTAGAGAGAGTGATGGACACGAAGAACAACTTTTAAATGTCTGAAAACAACTCGACCTCTGTTCTGTTGTGTTCTTACATCATCACAAACGTTTCCATCAACTCTCAAACCAGAGGAATCAGTGATTTTAATCAAGGTAACGTCAGTATCCATCATCAGCATATCCTCTATGTGCATGCGATGACGTTGTGTTTGACTGTTACTGAGTTTTAAGTCACACTTTGGATCTTGGTGGTGAAGTTATCAGAGGGACAAGCTGAGTAACATTCAGACAGCTCAGCTCTGAGACGTCCTGTGTCCATCTGCATCGGTGAATCACTGATGTTTCACATGAAATTACTTTATTTGTTGTTGCTACGGGTCAATTAGAATCTGAAGTTTGAATCCTCAGGGGAGCGTGAATGTTCTCAGTGAATTAAACGGCATCTTGTGTGCGAACTTGACGTGTTGGTAACGACACGACTGCGGATTTAATTGAAAACCCACCTGTGTGCGGCGGGCTCCTCGATGCGGTTGGCCAGCTGCGACTCCTGACTCTTGCTCCTCGTCAGTGCGATGTTGGGGAGGAGCTGCAGCAGCTTGCGGGAAGGCGGCGGCGGCGTGTGGGAGGGCTTGGCAGTGCGAGTCTTTGAGGTCTGCGCGCTCGGCTCCACGGCGAAGATGTTGGTCGTTCCGTCAGCTGGTCTCTGGTCGTCCGAGCAAGGCGCCACTGATATGGAGACGGAGGGGCTGCGGCTGCTGGTGGGTGGAAGAGGGGTGGAGGGGCTACCGGCACTGGAGGGGGCGCTAATGGGAGAGGGGGCATCACTGTTCTGTTGGGACTCAGATCTGCAGGAGTCAGTCCTCAGGTCACCTCCTGGAGTCACAGAGCAAAGGCCACATATTAGCAGGTACAGCACACACCGTCACACGTTACACAACTGTGACATACATTTAAATGAAAATGCATCTACTCCATCTCAGCTCGGTGCACCTGTTTCATCGGCGCTCTTCAGACAGGAGAGGGCGGCGGTGAGGCGGGAACAGTCCTCTGAGTTGGAGCCCAGGCGTCTCATCGTGTCCTGCAGCTCAGAGCTGGACATCTGCAGCAACCGGTCCACTGAGAGCTTCCCTGCTGCAGCCTGCAGGAGACAAGGAGGACGTCTCTGTCACGGGCTTTAAGGATGAGACAAAGGCTGCAACGAGCAAATCTACTGACACAAATTAGACCTTTTAGATGTTTCATTACTTTATAGTGACAATATATGATTCCCCCTTTTTGCTGGGGACCCCCAGGAACCCCCTCAAGGACCCCTGGAGTTCCCGGGACCCCAGTTTGAGAAAGTCACTGGACAGTTAAAAATCTGCAAAAGCTGAACAAGGAAACATTAAATGAGTCTTTCTTCAAATGTTGTTGCACTTTTTATTACATGAACTTAAAAAAGAAAAAAACCTTCTACAGTGACAAGAAAAAGTGTGTGAACCCTCCGAACCTGCAGTGACGGGTCATAAAATGTGATCTGATCTTCATCTAAGTTACAAGTACAAACACAATGTGCTTAATCCTTTAATCATTACTGAACACAGCCATGAAACATTCACAGCGCTGGTGGATAGAGTAAAGGAACCCTCGGATTTAGTAACTGGTCGAACCTGAAACCTGAAACCAGCTCCTCCTCATAGAGCTGCTTCAGCTCAGACATGTTCTCAGGATGTCTGGTGCAGCATCTCTACTGGATTCAGGTCCCGGCTCTGACCGGACAGACACCCTGATATTATCCTGGAGGAGACCTTGAGATCCAGATCCCGATGCCCCCTGCAGCCTGCTTCACCTCTGGGATGATGTGTTCATGTTGGCAGTAGTTGCGGTTTCCTTTTTGTTCTTCCCGAACAATTCAACTTTAATTTCATCAGTACAGAAAATATTTTCCCAGTTTCATTGTGGAGAGTCAGACTTCAGGTGCAGTCGTGTTATTTTTGGAGAGCAGCTGCTTCCTCCGCGGACACGTTGCCTGGTCAATGATATGAGGTCGACTCATGTTAACCAGCTCCAGTGATTCCTTTGAGCCTTTGGCTGTTACTCTGAAGTTACATTACTGATCATCCTGTTTTGCATCACAGCTGGACGCCCACTTTTACGGAAAACAGTCGCAGTTCAGCAGAAGTTTTTTGTGAATGACAAAGGTCCAATATTTTCTTCTTCTTCTTCTGTGTTTTATTTAAAGCGTTTAAGAAGATATAAAAACCATCTCAGTGTAGTTTTACATCTCCTCTCTCAGGCTTCTCTCTGCAGCTCTAGTAACAACAGGTCGGTGAGCCAATCAGAAGAGAGGAGGCTCTGAGCCTCTCTTCTGATTGGCTGACTGTTTTCTGAGTGATCCAATAAAAATAAAGCAGATTTCAGGTCTAAACACTCAGAGAAACCAAATCCTGCAAGGTTTGGATGGTGGGTCCAGGTGGGCGGAGCTTGGTGACTGCTTTGTTGTGACATCACAAAGTTCCAGAAGTCCTGACGGCTGGTTTTAAGGCTCAGTTTCTGAATACAGGCTGTGTGCATTTCTCTGTGGACTGAGGCTCTGATACTTTCACAGTATTAATATAGAAGCTAGAGCTGATCTATAATCACACTACACATGGACAGAGACCTTTAGACTGGATGGACCTGGACACTGGATTCAGAAAGTATTAATGAGTCTAAAATGAGGCGCAGTTGAAGGCTGAGATTGAGATGTCAGGCTTTTTCTTTCCGTGCGGCAGGACAAGCTTCGACAGAGTTCAACAGGTGGAGAAAAGAAGGTATTCTTCAGCCTGACACAGGAAAAAGTGTGTGAACCACTTGGAATGAAGCTGAATTTCTGGAGCACGAACTTGTCGACAGGCTGATTTACTTTTGATTCAGCTAAAAAAAAATACTAAAACTGTCTAAACTGTAAAACAAAAAGCAGCTCGCTGTCAGTTTCTCTCTGAGCTGCTGAGTCAATGTGAGACTGATTCCTCGAATCTGCTGTCAAACTGTGAAAACATGTTTTACCCTACACCTACACCGCTTCTATTCCACTGGAATGTGTTTTCTCAGCCTCTGGTGTGTGTGTGCGTGCGTGTGTGCATGTGTGTGTGTGTGTGTGTTTAATAAAAAGAATGGGGAAATGGATTGGCTTAATATCCTGGCAACTGGCTGTTTCCTGCATTGTGTCCGTGGTAAGTGACATGGACATGCCGGGACAACAGAGGGGTCAGTATGTGTAAATGTGATGTATCAGGGAGACAATGCTGAGCCTGAGTTTGAGGCTTTCACCCCCCCCACCCCCACCCCCACCCAAAAAAACAAAATTGAATTCTTCATTGTGACCAAAAATGCTTCAGCAGTCGGAGTTACACGAATCATGTGGTCATCTTCCAGTGTTACGGTCCTCTGAGTATGAAATCCCCTCGTCTTGTTTCCTCAGACAGCGACATATGTTCTGCTGGAAACGCTTTGAAAAAGATATTCACGAAGAGAAGACCTGATGCGAATTTGGAAAAGCACTTTTCCTGAAGTATAAAGTACAAGTTAAACATTTAAAAACAAGCTTAGGGACAAGTGATCAATTATTACGTCCAAAACGGCCACAAATATACGAGTATTAAAGTCAAGATCTCAGTGTTGTCTGTGACATTTCCCCTTTCACCTGAAAGGTTTTGAAGCCTTTCGGATTGGACTTGTTTGAGGTTCTTGGAAGACGTTTCCCTTCCGATCCGAAAAGGTTTCCTCAGAGTCTCGGCTCTCCTGGATGACCCTGAAGGTGTTAACGACCCCACATGAATGCCTGGAACTCCACGAGCCGGCCGGACCTGAGGAAGACTTTTCGGTTGAGAGGCGGAACGTCTTCAAGAAACCTCACGCAAGTCGATCAGCGGATATGAAGCTTATCTGAAGGGTCCATCACTGGGAGTATCTCACTGCGGTTGCACAAACTGATGAATCATCTTCCCAGATTCGTGGCAATGGTCTGCCTGGAGGGAGTTCCAAGAACAGAAATTATTTGTTGTGATCAACTGGGTTCTGCCATGATTAAGACTTTGAGAGTCTGCTTTGATGACGACAGGCGTAATTTTCCAAGCAATTTCTCCAAAGAAATGCCTCCAGCACTTACTGCACTTTCATAACTACTGTCTCTTATTTTGACAAGTGAATACATAATCTTGCATTGTACCTATAACAACATACAGTTCATTGCTGCAAATTAAAAGATGTAATGAAACAAAAAGGTAATAAAAAGGTAATAAAAAGGTAATAAAAAGGTATAAACTTTCGGGAAACAGTGAAATCTTTCGGCCTGTTTCAGATTAAATCAGACTTGTCTGGATGAGAGAAGGCGCCTGCAGCCCAGGACAGAAAAGCTGCAGTCTACCTGGACATTTTCCAGCCTCACCACAATGATTCAGGAAATATCTATCAGGTTACCAATGGGTGCTGATGTTATGTAGTCATCTATCTCACTTTTATTCAGTCAGAAATTACTGTGTCAGGTCAAGCCCACCCAGTCACAGAGCTGCAAACAAACACAGGGGGAAATCTGAATTAATGAATACGGTGCCGAAGTATACGGGCCAGACTCGGGCCGAGGACCCAGGCACATGTTGGGCCAGAAGTTTCATTTTTGCTGTTTAATATTTCTGTTTCTGAATAGCAGCAGATCTCATGTGTCCATGATCCTTCCTCTATCACTCAGTGTAAAGCAGAGCAGAGGAGTCTGTGGAGCTAGCTGCTTTCAGTTAGCTTCCTGCTTGAGTTTTGTCACATGACAATGCAGCGAGGAATAGAAAAAGTTCAAATTCAGCCGTCGTCATCAAAATCTTTACAATTCTCCTCATCAGACAGGAAGTAGAAACCACTTCTCTCTCTCTCTCTCTCTTCTGTCACATAGATTTACTCCCCAGTGACATATTCTCTCGAGATGAACAGTGCCCTGGTCTCGCTGTACGGTGACATCACTCCTAACAACTCAGAGCATCAGTGGTCACACAGACTGAACTTTCTTCATGTTTTTCCAGAACTAAACTGGAGGGTTTCTGTGACTGCAGATTTGTTTGTGTGGAATTTTTTTGGCTGTTAAACTGTTTTCTTCAATGGGTTTATTGATTTTTTTTTTATTTTTTATTGCTTGTGTTTTGTTGTCTGTGTATTTATCTGTTGCTATGGTTTTGTCTGTCAGCTGTGTGTGTGGTCACACGTCAGCGCAACAGTAAGAGATAAAAACAATAAAAACCGATGATAATAATAATAAAAACAGATGAGATCATGTAGGTAAAACAATGTGTTCGCACTAATAAAAAGCTCTTTTTAAAGAGATAGGTTTCGAGAAGGTGAGTTAAGTTTCAGATCTTCAGGCAGGGAGCTCCAGCGCCTTGCAGAGGCCACCGCTCTCCTTTAGTCTTGAACCAGGACTTAGGAGCAGCCTGCAGACCTCAGCAGCTAAACCAGGAAGTGCTTTAAGTCTGAAGTGTATTCGGTAAAATTAACCAGTAACCAGGGAAGAGAGGCTGAAACAGGCAATATGATCCTGTCCTCTTGTATTTGTTGAAAGCTGAGCAGCTACTTAATACAATGAATTCAAATAATGTAACAATAAATAGGAGATGGAGTAGGAGCGATGGTCACAATCAAACCTCCAGTCAGTCTAAATTACCAATGCAGTCGTTCTCATGCATCTGTTTCTGTTGACAGATTCACAGCTCACGGAGCATATATACCACCTTAACGAGCAGCAGTCCTTACCGAGCTCATTAAGTCATCATTTCATAATCACTGCTCTGTCTGACTAAATGGAGAAAAACACAGCTCATTGGCGGCAGCTGTGGTGTGGTGATCGGCCGTGCTGACGTTTTAAAATGAGCGATCACAAAGAAAGATTCGCCACCGGAGGCGATCAGATCATCTATTGGCAAACCGTGGTAATAACAGATGATTGCCCAACCCGAGCTGGAACACAACCCCGCCCCTGGTTTGAAGTGTGTAAAATTTGATGAAATATAAACATATTTAACTTGTAAATTCTAATGAAATGAAATGAAAAGAGGGTTGAAACCAGATTTTGACACGGCCTCAGAATAAGATCATTACCACATCTGAAAGCTGTGTCATCATTTCTATTGGTATTAT